ATCTTAACCACTAAATAAAATGTCCTTTTCTTAGTCCTAATTCATCTTGACCTTATTGTAGCTTTTGATACTGCTGACTATTCCTTGTTCTTGGAATTATCTATCTAATTTCTAACCTTTCATAACAAAGCTCCCACCTGGTTTTCCTACCACCTAGTCTGACCAACCCATCTCAGTCCCCATTTGTTGGAACATCATAAACTATGTTCCTCTTGCACTCTTATCATGGGTACCACTTAAGACTTTTGCACAGGGTCCTCCTCTTCTTCTATACTCTCTCTTGATGATCTTATCATCTCTTAGGGATTCAGTTTGTCTCTATGAAATAATTATAAGAGCTACAAATCCCTAGTTTTTCTTGGACTCCAATCCTCTATCATCAAATAAGTGCTAAATAGATCCACTTAGCTCTCAAACTCATCAAGTCCAAAATGAAAATCATTATCTTTCCTCTAAAACCAAACCTTTTCTGAACCTCTTTATTTCTGTTGAGGACTATCACACTTCCAGTTGCCCAGTTTCCCAACCTCATAGTTATCCTCAACTCTTCCCTCCCCATATCCAATCAGTTGCTATGTTGCTTGATTCTATTTCCACATCTTTCACATCCCTCCAGGTATCTCTACTCAGATGGCCATCACCATGATTCAGGTCCTTATCAACTCTAGCCAACTGCCTCCTTCCTCTACCCTCTCCAATACCTTCTCTTCACAGCTGCTAAAGTAGTATTCTTAAAGTGCAGGTCTAACTATGTCATTAGCATGCTCAAGATGTTTCAGTGTCTCTAGACTAAAAACCAAAGTTTTATTTGGCATTTAAAACCCTTCGTGATCTGCCTCCAACCTTTCTTTCCAGAATGATTTCACATTACTCCTATTTATAAACTCTACAGGGGTAGGGAACCTGCAGCCTCCAGGCCACATATGGCCCTCTAGGTCCTCAAGGGGGAAGGCACCCCTGGATGACTGTATTACAGAAAACTAGCCTACTTACTGTTTCATCAAGACAATATTTCACCTCCCATCTCTGTATCTTTGCACAAGCTGTCTTCCCATGCCTAGAATGCTTTCTGTGTTCAACTCCTCTTTTAAAATCCCTCACTTCTTTCAAAGCTCAGGTGTCTCCTCCTACACAAGGCCTCTCAGCACCTCCCATTTATTAGTGTCCACCAAAATTATTTTATATACTTGGTACTTACTTATCTATGGACATGTCCCCCCCCAATAAATATAAGTTTCTTGAGGGAAGGGACTATTTTGCTTTTCAAAGAAGGTGCTTAATAAATTGTTAAAATGAACTGAACTGGGGGTGAGGTGGAGTTATGTTAATCAGGGCTTCTTGGAGAAGTTTGTAGAATCTTAAAAGTAAATAGGATTCCAAGAGAAAGAAAGAGATGGGCAGTTTTGTTGTTCTTTTTGGGGTAGAGGAAGCATTCTTGGCCCATATCATTACCCCAGATATTTATTTAGCTGAGTACACTAACCGGAAAAGTCTTATAAAATTTTTTTTTCAGATGTCTAGTTCTTTAATTTGTATCTCAGTAGAGACAATTCTCTTATTTATCAATGTTTATTGTTTCTAATACTGTAGTTAAATAATTGACAAAGAGGTCCCAATACTTCTTACCCAAGAAGATAATGCAACGTTGGTTAACAAAATAGGAAATATTTCAGCAGCCTTCTAAGATCACTCAAGGCAACCCCTATAAATACCCTGTTAAAAATCATTAGCTCATTATAAGCCTAAGGGCAATACAATGATTCCTAAAGTCCACTTGGTTCCCTTCTTTTTCAGCTCTAGGAAGTGGTACACACACACACACACACACGGAGGCAATTGGAGTTGTGACTTGCTCAGGGTCACACAGCTAGTAAGTGTCTGAGAGGCTGGATTCAAATTCAGATCCTCCTGACTTAGGGAGTCCATTTTAGATGAAAAGTTCTAAATTTCAGTAACAACTGCTCCAGGCAACCAATTAGGAAAATTACTAATACTTAGCAAAGCTCTCTGTTTAATCTGACATTTATACCTGTCTCCAGTTATTCCTTGTCTTTCTAGCAGAAGCAAAATTCAGTTTTCAGGAAACATTTGTGCAACAAAACAGATAATATTATAGTATCTGTGGACAAGCATCTAGACTACAGGTTAGTGAAAAAAGCTTGTCTTTTCTTAGGATTTCCCTCAGACTAGGTTCTCCTCTCTGGGAGACCCGACACAGCCAAAGACTCTCCTAGATATCTCACTTCTCTGACACAGCTCAGTCCTCCCTTTGCTCCATATTTGCTCTAAGCTCAAACTCTCGGTATCTCTTTCCCCCCTCTCTTTCCCCCCTTATTCTGAGATAGTTTCTCCCTTTCATATAAATCATTTAGGCCATGCTCCAATCTTTCACACAGTAGCTCTGAACAATTAAAGATGGTGTACTGGTCCTGTTCACTCAGTTCTGAATATAATAATTCAACCAAAAAGTATTCTCATCTAATCAAGACACCAGAGCCAAATGGAGTGGTTTCAACATCAATGAACACATACAACCATGTTGCTAATCATCATACTCACAAATTTTTCCATTAGAACACATCTCCAATTTTACAATTATAACTTAAAAGAAAGTAAGATTCGTTTCATTGAAAACTATTAATAAGATCTGAGTAATTACTAGACACTGTGTGGGACACAAAAAAGTTATGAGACCTTTTCCCTGCTCTTTCTAGTTGGGGAGATAAGTTATATACACAAGCATTAAACAACTTAAGAGTTAAGTAACAATAGATGTTAAAAAGCCATATATGATTAATTGCTGTGAGTAACAGAAGCAATATATGTCCCAAATGAGTTCAGAGGACACCCAAGTTCAAATGATACATTTTGTAGTAAATATTTAACATCTTCTTAGACAATAAAAGAAAGGGCTATTGGGCTTTTTTTTTTTGTAAATGCAACTCATACACAACTATCTTGCTTTACATTAAAAATGTGTTCTTTCAAAAAACTGCATGCATTCCCCCTCAGTCAGATATTTTAAATGCATTTTAAGAGAACTTGCTCTATCATTAATCTTTTTTGTAAAGTAAATAATGACATTTGTGGATTAATTGAACTTTGTGTAAATTTAGATTTATATACTATATATGTGTGTGTGTGTATACATATATATACACACACACACACACATATGTAAAGCAAGGCATGCCTATATCTAACATATAATAGCTATCTCCCCTTGAAAAATAAGGTGAATATGACAGGATAATATGATGAGTAAATACAAAGACCAGACGTTTTCTTAAAAGTTTATAAAGTTTCCCCAAAAAATAAGTTAGATCTATTAGTAGATGTTTATTTCAGGACAAACCTCTACATAGATCATAACTATATAATCATTCCACCAATGTCTATATGATTCAGCCAAATGAATTCATATTTTTATAAAGAATAAATCAATCTGCGAATCATTTCAAAATCCCTTTAATTCTATAATCTTTTTCTTCAATTTGTCAGATATATTAAAGCTCTCAGCATAGCTGTAGGCACTTACTAATGTTAAAGAATATTGCAAACACGAAAAACTAATTTCACAAATACTATAATTTTGTATTTTTCTTAAGCAAGTGGAATGAAATAACTGTACACCAAATTTGTTATAAGTTTTTAAAAATCATTTATTTTGTTAAGTATCTTTGGTCCCTTACTTTAATAACTTTCTGAAAAATGTAACGAAATGGGTCTTTAAGTTAGCATACACAGTATACATTCATCCCTCACTGCAAAGGAATGAAAATTCAATTACACAAAACTGACAGGAGGTAACTTTCTATGATTTTTCAAATTAAGTGTTCAGATAATTCAGAAACAATGCATGAGACAAAAAGACATATAAGACTTGGAAATTAGTTAAGTGTGTGGCCGCGGCCACATATCTAACAACAAATTTATCAAGCAGGAAATCTCAAGTAAAACACCCAACTTTCTAAGTCTCTTGCATTCATCAAAAGCCAAGGGCAGAATGAATATAATAGCATTTTACATCTCTACATACTATAAAAGAGTAAACAGGTAACCCCCCCACCCTAACAACAAAAAGGCAACTGGAAAAAAATACCTTTAAAAATTATGAAAATCAGAAGTAAAAAAAAAAGTTTCCTTGCCTAAACCGAGAAACTCATGGAAAAAGCTGGAGTCCAGGAGAGTACAGTAATTGTTTGTACTTAGTACCCAGCCCACAGAAGGAACTGTTTGTTTATTTAGCTCACACCTTCTTCAACACATGCATCCCTAGCAAAATCTAGATACAGTTGCAAGATGCCTGTAAATACTTCCTTAAGAATACAATGGAAATAAACTTTAAATTGAGGGGTACTAAAGATACGTGATACTTTTTAGACAAGCACTTTGGGGGCTGTGAATACTTCTAACTCTTTCAGATACTGTTCCTAACCACAGCCTTCTAAAACTGTTGCAGATTCCTCATTTCCACCATTCCCCCCATTCCATCAATCCACTTTTCTAAAAAGTGGGCCCTCCAAACAAAATTAATAAGCTCAAGAGGTCCACTCTGCATTCTTAAAGCCTGTCTTCCTAACAGGACTGAATCAGTGTAAAACCCAGAACATAGTGATCCACAGGCCCATAAGTGCTACCAATAGCGCTTTCCTTATCCCAGCCAGTGACAGCCCCGAGAGTTGACAAGGCCCTCGTCTACACACACCAACGCATTTGCGGGCAGCACCCCCGACACCCGACAGGTCTTCATGATGCCGAGGCCTTCCTGGAGCTCCAATCCTGCTCTGCAGTGACCCCAACACCCCGTACCTCCATCTTCCTCCAGGCAGCGGCCCAGCTGCCACATGTATGCTCCCCCCCGCTTCAAGCCCAGCCCTTTACCCTTGCATTGAAATCACCACCACCGCACGCGCGCACACACACACGCACGGACACGGACACACGGACACACACACACATACACAGACACGCGCGCGCACGCGCGCACACACACGTACCTGGCTCCAAGGACTGCAGGGGGCGGGGGGGGCCGCCACCGCCACACCAGGACGTCCGTGCCTGGCTAGGTCGATCCTGGGACAGCCTTTCCTGGTGCTCCACGGCCCCAAGGGGGGCCTCCGCGATCCTCCGAGGGGGCTGGGCTTTGGGGGGCACCCCCACCTTCGGCCCACCCCCCTCCCCCTTCACGGCCTGTCACCGCTCCCCCCCGGGGGCTGGGGGGGAGGGAAGGGAGCGCGGACCCGGGCGCGGGTGACAGTGGACGGACCCCCGAGAGAGGAGGGGAGGAGACGTGCGGCCGGTCCGGGGTCAGAGAAGCAAGTCAGTCACGCAGCTGGCGGCCGGCGAGGGCCAGGCCCGTCTCTCACATGGAGCCCCCGGCGGCGGCGGCGGCGGCGAGGAAAGGGCAGCCCGCCGTGCCCCCCTCCTGCGGAGGCCGGCTACGGCCGGCGGGGTCCTGGCTGCCTGCTGGGCAGGGAAAAAAGGGGAAGCTCCGGGGCCTGGCGCTCCCCGAGGCCCCAGCAGTGACCGAGCGGCTGGGGCTGGCGGCGGCGGCCGAAGCTCCTCACCGGTGGGGATTGAGGGAGGAGGCGCGGAGAGAGGAGGAGTCGGAGTCGTCTTCTCCGTCGTCGTCTACTCCAGAGGCTGCCAAGCCCAGCTACCCCACCCCCGCCGGCCCCTGCAGCCAAGCCGCTCGCCTAAGCCGCCGTCGCCAACGGCAGCCCTGCCGCCACTACACACGCACCCGTGACGTAGAGCACCACGCGCAGGAGGCGTCACCAGCCCCAGCTCCATCATGCCGCGCCGCGCTATCTTGGGCTCGAGCGCGTGCACGCGCGCTCAACCTTCAGGCCCGGGGTGGGGTGGGGTGGGGGGGGATGCGGGCCAGAGGGAACGCAGTGCAGGGAGAGAGGAACGGGGAGGAGGCGAAGGAAACGCCGGGCGCGCGCTCGTTCGTTCTGGAGCGCCCCTGTGGCTGCGCAAGCCTACTGCAGTTACGGGAAGAAGGCCATTCGCGCCTGCGCAATGAAGGCCCAGGCTAGGGGAACTCCAGCGTGCGTTACCTCCCGTCGTCTTTACGCACCCCGGCGCCAGGCGCTGGTTCTGAGCGAGGTCACCCGTCGGGGCATGATTCCCGGGTCTCGAGTCCCAGCTCCGCCCAGCTCGGCCTTCCTGACTTCCAGACGCCCAAACCCTTCGGTTAATAATTACCCCCATCCCTTCCCCCATCTCTCCCCCGGGGAGAGGCCGGAATAACTGACAACCGAGAAGAACGTCAAACCAGAAGTGTTTTTGTTTTTTTAATTTTGTAATGTTTTGTTTGACAGGATGGGGTCCCTCGCAACGTCTGGGCGAAATGAGGGAATCGAAAGCACAGGATGTTAATTCTGTGAGGGACTTTAAAAAAAATTAAAGCCAATCCTCTCGTTTTACAGATGAGGAAACTGAGGCCAGGAGAAGCGCGGTGACGGTGCAACCAGGTCCTACATCCAGGGAGCCCAGAAGCAGGACCCGGACAGTCCAAGGGCCTCTCGACTCACTCCCTAGGAAGCTTGGGTGGTTCACAAATGAGAGGCGAGAAGAAATTTTAATTTAATCTCCTATCTTTGAGCCTTCAGTGCTAACACTTTTTAAAGGCATTTTGGAAATGGCAGGAAGGATTAATAATTATTAATAATGTATTATTAATGATCTGCATTTTTATAGGCCCTTTGCCGCACATTGTTAACATAGGCTCTTTCCTTCTTAGAATGTAAGATCCTTGAGGGCAGACACTTAGACACATGTGGGAGTAGGAGAGTGAGGCTCAATCTGAGGTTTCATTGATACAGGAAATTCCTAATGAGGAAATTCCCTCTACAACTACTCTGAAACTTCATAGTCTTAAAGAGTTGCTTAAGCACTGAAAGCTTAAGAGACTTGTTCAGGGTCATTCAGCCAGTATTTGTCACAGGCAGAACTGGAATTTTCCTGACTCCAAGGCCATTATGCACACTGCCTCTTAGTCTCCTAAGAACATATTCCTAAAGCACAGTTATAGACAGCTAGGTGGGTCAGTGGATAGCATGAGGGGCCTGGAGTTGGAGGATCAGAGTTCAAATGTGACCTCAAACATTTATTAGTTGTGTGACCCTGGGCAAGTCACTTTAACCCTATTGCCTCAATTTCTCATTTGTAAAATGAACTGGAGAAGGAAATGGCAAACCACTTCAATATTTTTGCCAAAAAAAAACCCCTAAATGGGGTCATAGAGAGTCAGATAGGACTCAAAAACTAATGACAACAAATGCACAGTTAGTGGATATGCAGCAGCTTGTGAGCCAGAGTATTAGAAAAACTACTAACACTTAGACCCCCTAGAACTCTTGTGGAAGCAGTAACCTGACCTGCAAGTTTGAGTGGGAATTGAGGAGAGTTTTTCCATCTCATTTTAGCCCATTCAGTTACTGAGATGGAGTGTTCGAAGATTTGTGACCACAATATTGCTGGAAAAATGTTTGCATTTAAATGCTTGTGTTGCAGAAAACAGTTTAGGATCTCCAAAAATACTGTGCAGTTTCCCAAATGCAATCCAACCCAGTGTCTTTCTCCTATTCAGTTGTAGACCCAGCTAGTCATTTTTCCTCTGTGGTCCCAGACACATGTATGTATGTATATACAACAGCCAGGTCCTGATTAGTGCAAATGATGAATTCTGTGAAATGGTCACATTATTTGAATTTGAATTGAGATAAAATAAAAAGGCATTATTTCTATTTGTCTGGAACCAATTAAGATATTTTACATAATTATAACTTAGAGTAGTATGAATTGGAATACACACAACCATTTCACAGGTGGGTTTCAAGGACCTAGCTGTAATTCAGAAAGACACCAAGTCTTGGAGTCAGGAAAATCTGAGGTCAAGTCCTTCCTTCGACACATTCTACCTATGTAACAACGGGCAAGTCACTTAACCTATCACTACCTCTAGGCAATTCTTAATAGTGAGGAAGTTACTGTACACAGATGAAAAACATAATAACTCATGAACTGGCCATTCAACTGCATGTAATAGTCTGGGACTATTAAACAATTTGTTTTTTCCTTTATGGATTTATTAGCCCAATCTCTTCCCTAATCCCATCAGGTGTTAGTGCTCTATTCCAATGGTGTCAAACTCAAATAAAGGCTGATCTCTCATGGCCTATGCATATAGATTTAGAAAACCACAAATTAACATTATATATGTTGTATTGTTGGTGAAGGAAATGGCAGACTACTCTAGTCTTTACCAAAAAAACCGGAAATGGGGTTATGAAGAGTCAAACAAGATCAAAAGGACTGAACAACAAAAAATGTTTTGTTGTATTTTTGTTTATTTTGTTAAATCTTTTCCAATTATGTTTTAATTTTGAGACTGCACTCAGGAGTTTTATGGACTGTGAGTTTGACACCTTTATTCTACTTCACTCTTCTCCCTATTCATCACTTTGTATTCATTTTATTTATGTATGTACATGCAGGTGGGAGAGTACACACACACACACACACACACACACACACACACACACACACACACACACACACACTTTGGTTCTGTTGTTGCCCCTTGTATAGAACACAAGCTCTTTCAGGACAGGGATATTTATTTCATCTTCATATTCCCATCACCTAGCACAATGTCTGACATAGTGCTTAATATGCTCTTTGAATTAAATAGAATTAATAGCAGATTGAATTGAAAATGCCTTGTAATGTTATGGGACTTGTGTAGAGACAAGATCCTGCCAAGCACTAATTTTAAAAGTGCAGTATATGTATAGCATATAATCTGCTGATTATGCCAGTTATAGAGTGTCAAACCTTCTGAGATAACACCAAGATACTGAAGAAAGAAGGGCAGTCCACACTAGCATGGATATATATGTGTAGATTTATTAGAATTTATTGGGTTAATTGGGTGAGTTTAGAGAGTTTCCTCACAAGACTGGTCCTTGGCAGCAAGAGGCTTGAATAGTGTATCCCCACACCTGCTCTTAATTAGACCAGCTCAGATATTATTTAGAAACAGAACAAAGAAGGCAAAGTTCCAGGGATGGCCCAGGGTCATATGCAAGTTTTCCCATGGGATAGTTCAAGCTTCTTTTGATATTTACATTTACTCAGGATACCTTACATTAACATTCTCACACTCTGGCTCCCACTGGACAATTAAATATAGTCAGCACAATGTCTTCTGCAAGCAGGAACATCTGTCTGTTGGACCCCAACATGTAGAGGGAGATCCTCTTCCATTTGGATGCTTCACAAGAAACTTCCATGTGTAAGCTGAGTCCCAAAGCCCATTTGTGTAGGATTCTCTCCTCATTGGTGGAGATCAATGCCCTGTGCCTGTGTCAGGTGTGGGGAGGAATTGGGGACAGCAAGAGTGAGAACTGTTGGGGGCTCTTTATGACTCTTCTAGGCTCTTGGGTTTCTTCCATCTTCTCTCTCTTCCAAGCTTTTCAGTCTCTTTGGGAGCTTCTGGCTTCCAGCTTCAAGAGAGAAGATGAAAGATGCCAATCTCATTTCAGGTTGTTGAAGGAAAAGACTCTAGGAAGAAGCTGACATGAGAAGAACGGACAGTCCCCATCATGTCCCTATCCCCAGCTTGATATGCTAGAGACTTTGGGGAACTTCCATTTGGAGGTCAGATTTAGGATTCTCTATCTCTCTGTCTCTGTCTCTCTCTGTCTTTGTCTCTCTGCCTCTTTTTCTCTGTTGATCTGTGTTACCTCCTTTTTAGGAGAGCTACTTCACCCTGTATTTGTTGGATGTATTTTCTCTTATGTATATTTTCTCTTATTCTCTTTTGCTATCAAGTTGGATAAATGAATGTCTTTGTTACTTGCTTTGTGTGTTCATTGTGGAACTGGCATTTGCTGAGAAAGGAGTCAAGAAGACTCATCTTTCTGAGTTCAAATCTTGCCCCAGACACTTAACTAGCTGTGTGACCCTGGGCAAGTCATGTAACTGTTTGCCTCAGTTTCCTTATCTGTAAAATGAGCCGGAGAAAGAAATAGTAAACCATTTGAGTATCTTTGCCAAGAAAACACCCTAAATGGGGTCATGATTAGTCAGGAATGATTGAAACAACTGAACAAGTTGGACATAAAGCTTTGGGACCTGTTTCTCATATTAATGAAACAGTCATCAGAAGTTAGATTGAACCTGAACACCACAGCCCCTAGACATAATATTTAAGGGAGTAAAATTATAATTTTACTCCAGTTTTTTTGAGTACCAGAAGATGGAAGAAGTATGAGAGTAAGGAGCCCAGTATAAAGAGAAATTTGTTTGTTATGGAACTGGAGGGCAGAGGGGACAATGGAAAGATCTAGCATACCAGGAGGTATGGAGGAGGATGGATATGGTTGTTGTTGTTTATCCTTTGTTCTCAGAGAAGACCAATGACATCAAGAAGGTGATGTCTTGACTTGCTTGTGAATTGGGTTTAAGTGAGGCAGAGCTTGGCAAAGTAGTCAGCCTCACTCTCTCCTCCAGAGACATCGAAGTCCAGCTGGAAGATAAAAGTCAAGATGACTGATGATGGCCTGTTAATGACTTTGGCCTTTCCAAAGTGGGGTCTTTCCCAGGCCTCATAGGCACCAAAGGATAGAGGAAAGGATAGGAGAAAGATTGTGAACTGTGATGCTAGAGGCTATTGGGCTGTAACTTAGGAGATGGGGTTGTCACTGGGGAAGCAATGTGGTATAGTGGAAAGGATACTAAACAGATCATCAGAAGACCTGAAGTGGAGGGCCCAGGCTTTGGGCAGAAGCAGTAATTACCCACATGGAGATTACATGATTTTGGGGATCATTTGGGGCTATTTAAGAAATTCTAGTTGTGCTTATCCTAGCTACCCAGCACATACCAGACACACTTTCACTTAGCTCATTTGTGTTTAAATTTAATATTAGCCTAAATAAGATATAATTAGGGAGGTAAATGTATTCCTTTTAAAAATGTTCAATACACAGTTATTGATCACTGTCTACATGAAAAATATCATAGAGAACACAAAGAATAAGACATTATCTCTACCCACATAGAATTGAGAGTCTAACGGGGGAGAGTGTGGGGTGGGAACACATAAATGACTTTTTGATTGGCCACTTACTTAGACAGTGGCACAAATTTTCCTGAAATAAGGAGTGGGAACTATAACCCCCAACAGGTTATTTATAGAATTTAGTTATCTATGTTGATGACTTCTGTATTGGTATGAACAATATTGATAACATGCACTTTTTTTTTGTTATATAAAATCCACTTCTTATCTCCCCTCCCAAGCCCCACCCCTGCAATTGAGAGCACAAGAACAGTAAAACCCATTGCAAACATGCAATATAGTCAATCAAAACAATTTTCCACACTGGCTATGTCCAAAAAAATTTGTTTCATTATGCACTCTGAGTCCTTCACCTCTTTATCAGGAGGTGGGTAACATGTTTTCTCATCAGTCCTCTGGAATCCTGATTGGTCATTACACTAATAAGAGTTCAGCACAAAAGTATTCCATTACATTTATAACTTGTTCATCAATTCCCCAATTTATGAACACCCCTTCAAATTCCCATTCTTTGATACCTCACAAAGAGCTATATTTCTTATTTATGTGATTTTTACGTAGAGTTTGTTTTGCTTAGTACTAGTCCCTCTTTAATCTACCCTCTCTCTAATTCTTCCTTCCTTCTCCCCTTTTCCTCCTAATTTCCTGTTGAGTGAAATATACTTCTCTACCCAACTTCCTGTGTGCATGTGTATTCTCTCTTTTCAGCAGTTCAGATGAGTGTGAGGTTCAAGGGTCAGCTGCTTCCTCCCATTCCCTGGATTCCTTCTTGTTTGTATAGATGTCTATTTGTGGTCATATGGGATAATTTTCTCTAACCTTCTTTTCACTTTGATACCAGTGTATTCATCTTCCCCTTTCTTTCCATTCTTAAGATCATCAAACAACAAAGCCACTCACAGGTCTTGTCTAATTTTATTCCCTTTATGACTCTTGTTGATGCTTGGGTTCAGAAGAGACATGTATCATTTCCTCATTAATGTTACCAGTTTATCCTCATTCTTTTATCATTGTTCATTCATTTTTACCTTTTTATGTTTCTCTTCACTTTTGTTGAACTTCAGTATTTCTACACAGTTCTCATCTTTTCATCAAGGAAGCTTGGAAGTCCTTTGTGTCATTGAATATCGATTTTTTCCCTCTAGTTGTATCATACTCAGTTTTGCTGGGTAATTGATTTTTGGCTGTAAGCCCAATTCTTTTTTGCCTTCTGGAATATGGTGTTTCAAATTCTCCAGTTCTTCCTACTGGTGGTTACTAAACTATGTATGATCCTGACCGTGGCTCTTCAGTACTTGAATTCTTTCTTTTTGATTGCTTGCAATATTTTCTTTTGATCTGGAAACTGGATTTTGGCTATAATGTTCCTAGGAGTTTTCATTTCAGAGTTCTTTTCAGGAGTTGATCAGCAAATTCTTTCTATTTCCACTTTTCCCCCTGGTTCTAAGAGATCTGGGCAATTTTAAGATTTCTGGAAATAGGATGCCTAGGGTATTTTTTTTAATCATAATTTTCAGGTAGTTCAATGATTCTTAATTTTTTTCACCTCAGTCTGCTCTGCAGGTCATTTGTTTTTGCTATGGGTCTTGGGGTGCCCTGGAGTCTAGAACCTCCTTTTGCCTTGCTGGCAAGGGCGTTCCCTGTGTTCTGGAGTGTTTGCGCATGGCCTGTCTCCAGTGTCCCCAGGTTTCCCTGTCTGTCTCTTTATGCTACTTTGGGCTGCATAATGACTCACTGTGACCTTTTCTGGATTTCAACCTCAGGATTTGGTTCGATATCTTTTCTAGATTTTTTTTTTGTTAGGCAGTGGCGTTAAGTGACTTGCCCAGGGTCACACAGCTAGTAAGTGTTATGTGTCTAAGGCTGGATTTGAACTCAGGTCCTCCTGAATCCAGGGCCAGTGCTCTATCCACTGCGCCACCTGGCTGCCCCTTTTCTAGATTTTTAAAGGTGAATTTTGTGGCCACTATTTTAACACAGCCTACATTTTCTGACTTTCAAGGTATAAAACTCCTTAGTCTTGCCTGTCTCTACTTCTAATACTAAGGGTTACTGTCATTTTGGAGAAGTTATGGTTCTGTTTACTCTAGTTGGGGTCAAGGGTGTGGTTGTTTTTAAGCCACCTGTATTTGAAATTACATTGAATTATTTGTCAGTTTTAAAATCTTGTATACCTTAGCATCTTATTGAAAAGACTTCTTAAAATTGATTTCATTTTGCTAAAATCATTTTTGTGTACTTTTGTGTCATTTTGTGACTTTCTACCTGTATCTGATTTAGATGTAAATAGTTCAAATTTAGAGACATTGGCTAGAAATTTACCTGCATTTTTGTTTCAATTGTTGTTTAACTGGTGTTTGCTTTAAAGATAGCTTTACATTTCAATACTCCAGTGAATGTGGTATTTCACTGATGTAGGTCCATCAGTGCAAATCCCAATCTGTCTATGCCTTCTCACTGATGCAATTCCTGCTCATGTTCTGCATTAGATCCTTCTAACATTCTGGAAACCTGCCTTATATTCCATGGGTACCAGTAAGGTATTCAGGCTGTCCATCTATCATGATAATAATAATACTTTTAAATATATCTATCTACATATATGTATTTAAGTTGCCAAATAATTGTCACTAAACTGTTATCTCATAATTTGGTATCTAGACCAGCTTTCCTGGATTATGTCCTTTAAACCTTTGTTTCCGACTGTTGTTTCCTGTTTGTCTAGGTCTTTTCTCTGACATCTGTGTCCAAATAGCTAAATACCAATGACTTGCTTCATTTCTTTCTCCTATAGTATTATCTTTTCTCTTTGTTCTATTCCTCACTGGACAGTTAAGAGTCTTGGATTCTATAATCCTTGGCTTTCTGCCAATAACTTGCTATATTTGACTTCAGACCTTCATCTTTCTCTAACTCAGTTTCCTCCTCAATAGACTAGGTGATCTCTGAAGTCCTTTCCCACTCTCTTCTTCCTTTTCCTTCTTGGATTATAGGCTTACAGTCTATAGATTTGGAAGGGACTTTAGAGATCCATCCTACTTTATCTTATATTTATTATATTTATTTATTATATATATTATATTTATTATATCAGCTTTGGAACTTAGAACCCACTAATTTCTCCCTTCATCTCTGCCATTGACAACCCTACTTCCAATTGCCCAGGTCCAAATGCCGCTCCTTAATTGCCCTACTCCTCTGGCCACTCCCTACCAGCTGTTGGCTACTAGCTAGAAGTGCACGGATTATGCCTGTGTTTCTCAACACTTAGCTCCAGCCATTTGCCTTCTCAAAGCCATGGTTCTCCATTCCAGATATCAGTATCGAGCATAATTAAACCAACACTTTCAATGCTACTTTGGAGCACTTTAAAATTCATTTAGAAACACTGGATTAACTCAGTAACTTAATGAACACAGTTCCTGTTTGCCTGTCCTGCCTCTTCCTCCCCCCAAACCCTACAAGTTAGTCATGCTTATTTGCATATATAGCCTTGCCGCTTTTAATCTAACATAATATGATTCTATAACTCACCTTTACAAGTAAAATGAAAGGAATTGAAGCTGCTCACCAACCTTACTGTGTAGTTTCTTTGGCCAGGTTATGCTAGTTAGTTACTTTGCAAGTCCTGGAATTTGAAAGAGCAGGTAGTAAAGATTCTGTGGGGAAATTTGTGGCTATTGCTGGATATCACAGTCTCTGTAATATTAGCTAGCATTTATATAGTACTTTAAGGTTTATATGTGTTAATCTAATTCTAACCTCTCAACAATCCTGTGATGTTATGTTAGGGGTTATTATCATACTCATTTTATAGCTGGGGAAACTGAAGTTCACAGGGGTTAAATGACTTGCCTAGAGTCTGAGGTAGGATTTGAACCAAGGTCTTCCTGATTCAAGTCCAGTACTCTAGCCACTATACCATTTAGTCACCTACCTGTAATTGTAGGGACAATGAGTGTAACTACTCATTTACTGTGCCTGCTGAGGTCTCTAAGAGCTCTTGCATTTTATTGACTGAGTGGGGTTTTTGAGGGTAACCAGATCTTGGATCTCTGGCCACTGTCCCAGAAGAGAATCTATTAGGAGTTTGGAGATCCAGGAGGGGTCCACTTCCTATTCCCCCAAATTGGCTGTGCCCCAGTGTCCATGTACACTAGCCTTTGGCAACAGCACAAGAAATGTGGGGGAAAAATGCAACAGAGACCTGGCCCAGGTTCGACAAATAATTTGCTACAAAGTGCTTTATATTGTTAGGCCTTACAATAGTACTGTGAAGAATATGCTATAGGTTTTGTCATCTCCCCTTTATGGAGGAGGAAACTGAGCGTCAGACGGGTTGAAAAACTTGTTCATGGTCATGCAGCCAGAAAGTGTCAGAGGCAGGATAACCCAGATATTTCTGCTGCAAGTCTAGACTTCTGTCTACCAGACCACACTATTCCCCCCACTCCTCACCTCAAGCTTGTAATATGGGCAAACAAACTGAGGAGACATGACTAACAAATGAAACAAAATGGAGAATAATACAGGATAGTATAACAATAAGATAATCAAGTGCCGGCACATGTCCTTTGGGGCTATGTTGGCATTCCTTGCAAAGAATAAATTCTATTCTGTGTTACAGTATTGACCAAACAATCTTCCACATTCAGTTCCTGGGGAGAAAAAAGAGATCCCAAGTTAGCTTTAAAAATTGTCTGCAATCTCAGCTTTATTTACAAGTTGTTATATATTACTTATCTTATTAGAATAGTAAAGATTTAGTATGACTGCTACCACCCACTCCTTTGTCTTGCCACTTCCTCCAGCCCTAGGCTTGCCTCCTCTGCAGTCTTCTTTCATTCATTTTCTACCACAAGTCTCTTAGTTAAACTATCTAGGAGTCTTATGAATAGTTCTTGATCCCCACATTTTCCTAGTTAGTAAGGTCCTAAGGTCCTTTCATTCATTTTTATTGGCGCTTCACCAGGAGAAATACGTAGCACAGACATTCAGATAAATGAAAGAAATGACAGAAGAAGCAAAAGGAATGGTGAAGAGACCAAGAAATGCACTCAGATTTTGCAGCAATGAATTGTATTTTATTTATATATGTTATGTCCTATTACTTGGCAACCAGTTCCCAGCTTCATGTGTTAGGGGAGGGATGAGAGAATTTAATAGCCTGGGTGGGTTGGAATGACTCATCCCTATATACTCTTGCCCTGGAACTAGGTTAACAGGGCATACATTGTTAAAAGTTACAGGCAGACCATTTTTTCCTCTGAATTTTGATTCTGTTTGTGCTTTCATATGAAAATCTTTGCAGCGTGTCTCTCTTTTTTGTTCATGTTTATTTTTTAAAGGCAATGTAGAACAGTTTAAAATACTCTAATTCAGATGAAGCTAGATAGAAAACAGCTTTTTTAAGGTGTCCTCCCTGAAGGTAGTAACAAGAACTAAAAAGACCTTTTTGGCAGTCCCTTAAAGTCTTGGGGAGTCTAGCATGCTAGCTGCTATAAAGGTCATTTCCTTGGGCTCTAAGTCTAGCTATGACTTTTTCATGAGTAAAAATGCTGGACTGATCCCTGGAAAGGATGCAACTCCACTTTGTACCTCAGCCTGTCTATTCATGTTGTGAGCCATTATAATTAAAACCCTTTTATAGATCTGAGTCAACTGAGGTTTTAGAAGAATCGTTTCCTACTGTTATGGAGTAATAAAATGTGATTATTCCACTCTGTTTGGGGCACACTACAGGCATCCCTCATTTTAAGCAACATAATTTCTAATTTAGGATAAGAAACCAAATGCAAGAGCATAGATGTAGAACTATAAGAGACCTCAGCATCCTTCTAGTCTAATGCCTCATTTTACAGATGTGGGCACAGAGCACTCCCCCTCCCCCTGCCCCCAGCTCCAAATTAAATCACTTAGCTTAGCTCACAGATGTAGTAAGTGGCAGATTTTGTTGTTGTTCAGTTGTGTCTGACTCTCTGGGACCCCATTTTGGGTTTTCTCAGCAAAGACACTGGAGTGGTTTGGCTTTTCCTTCTCCAATTCCTTTTACGCATAAGGAATGGAGGCAAACGATGTTAAATGACTTGCCCAGGTTCACACAGCTAGTTAGTGTGTGAGGTCAGATTTGAACTCAGGAAGATGAGTCTTCCTGACTCTAGGATAAGCTGTTTGTCCACTGTGCCACTTAGCTGCCCTACAAGTAAGTGGCAGAGGCTAGATTTAAACCTAGGCCCTCTGATTCCAAATCCAGTGTTCCCACCAGTTTCCACCAGAACAGTCTTTTCATAAATGATTTTTAATGAGTCTAAAGACTTAAGGAATTTTCAGACCATAAGGGGTCTAAAAATCTTTTAGCTCAGGGCAAATTTTTTTTAACAAATGCCAAGTATACCTTAACCCTCAATTTAAAAACCCATTTCCTCTAGTTATGAAAATATGTCATGGCTTCAGACATCATTAGTGGAAATATCCTGGAAGTCCTCAAGATGAAGATGCTGTTCCACGTAAAAAAGATCTTTAGCTTTTGCTCACGAGCAAATCCCTTGTGATCACAGTACAGGCATATTCATGGGAAAAAACTTTTCCAATTCACTCCTGATGCTTAACTACCTATATGACCTTGAACAAGTCCAGAGGTGGGGAACCTGTGGCCTTGAGGCCACATGTGGTCTTCTAGGTCCTCAACTGCGGCCCTTTGATGAATCCAAATCTCATAGAACAAATCCCCTTAATAAAAGGAATTGCTCTGTACTACTTGGTCTCAGTCAAAAGGACACACTCAAGGACCTAGAAGGCCAAGTGTGGCCTGGAGCCTGCAGGTTCTCCACCCCTGGACAAGTCATTTCAGCCTTCCTTGAGCCTCAATTTCCTCATTTGTAAAATGAGAATAACTAGGTGGTCTTTGAGGTCCCTTCAAGGTCTAAATCTGTGATTCCATATGACTATGCAGTTTAAGAGAAAGAAATTGGAAAAAAATCAAATTAGCCCTTATTTAGGAGAAAAATAGAATTTTAAAAGCAAATTTACTTCCAGGAATTTCATGAATCCATTTTATAAATTGTGTCTGGAAAAAAAAAAGTATCGCCTGGTAGCCAATGTTCTAGTGATGAGATTGTACACTTAGCTTGGCTATGACAATACTATACATACTCACATACATATATGCATACATACATACACACATTTTATATATTTATATATGTATATGTATGTGTGTGTGTGTATATGTGTATGTATATATCTGTCCATCTATCTATATTGCCCAGCTTATCGTTGAACATCTTCTATCCTATGAGAGCTTACATTGCTCTGGAATAACCTTAGAGAACGCATCATGTGGGATTCACAGGAAGCCTAGGATCTATTTTAAAATACCTTATTGAAAACCCAAGATAAATGTGAGCTGAGAATCAAAAAGACAAGGTACTTTGAAAAATAACTCTGCATACCTTACTGCCACAGTAAAAGAAACTTATGGAGCAAAAAGGACACGTTTCAAAGAATGTAGCAAATGGAACAAAGAAAAAAAAACCAGAAGAATGCTATAAGGCAGAATTAGGGCTAAAGCTGTGGAGCAGAAGCCTGAATAAAATTGGGGTGCAGAGACCAGGCCATGGAATGAAGGGATGAGAGATTTTGACCTTTCTCTATACCTCAGTCTTTCTCTCCCTTTTTCTGCATGAGGTTACTTCCCATTCTACTTTTTTTTTCCATGAGCGTCTCTCATTCTTCTTCTGTTAATTGCCCTGAATTCTTTCCCTTGCCTTTTGCCTCACCCATCTAGTTGCTCTTTGTTCTGAATATCTCTTCTCTTTTCTCTGAATGTATTCCCTTCCCTCTTTTTCCCATAATGTTTATTTTTCCGTTTTCTTGTGTTTTTTCCTCCTTCCATTTTTAAAAATTCAATTTTATTTTCAGTTCCAAATTCTCTCCTTCTCTCCTCCCACTGCCCCACCCATTGAGAAGGCAAGAAAAACAAAACTTGTTATAAATATGTACTATCATGTAGTACAAATCCCACATTAGACATATTAAAAAGGGGAGGAGGGAAAGGAAGGAGAAAAGAAAACATGTCTCAATCTCCCCTCTAATTCCATTAGCTCTCTATCTGGAGATGGATAGTATGTTTCATCCTGAACTGGTTGGGATTGCGACAGGTTATTATGTTTCCCAAGTCTTTCAAAGTTGTTTGTCTTTCAATATTGTTGTTATTGTATAAATTGTTCTCTTGATTCTACTCACTTCGTCTTACATCAGTTCATACAAGTCTTTCTAGGTTTCTCTAAAACCATTTCCTTGTCATTTCTTTTAAAATTTTTTTTCACTTTTAAATATTTCATTTTCTACTTACATTTATAAATAATTTTTGATATTCATTTTTTAAAATTTTGAATTCCAGATTCTCTGTCTTTCTCCCTCCCTGGCTTTGTTTGAGAATGCAAACAATTTGATATAGGTTATACATGTGCAGTCATGCAAAACATTTCTGTATTAGTCACACTGTGAAAGAAAACAGATAAAACAAAGCCCCAAACAAACCCAAGAAAAATAAAGTTAAAAAAAAAGTGTACTTCAATCTGCATTCAGACTCCATCAGTTCTTTCTTTGGAGGTGAATAGCATTTTTCATCATGTCTTTCAGAATAGTCTTGGATCATTGTATTGCTAAATAGCTAAGTTATTCACAGTTGATCATCGTACAATATTGCTTTTATTGTGTATACTGTTTGGTTCTGCTCACTTCAATTTGCATCATTTCATATAAGTCTTCCCAGGTTTTTGTGAAAGCATCCTGCTCATCATTTCTTATAGCATAATAGTATTCCATCACAATCCACAATTCCACCACAATTTGTTAAGCCATTCTCCAATTGATAAGCATCCCTTCAATTCTCCATTCTTTGCCACCACAAAAAGAGCTTTTTAAAAAATCTCTTTGGGATACAGTAGTAGTGCTATTGCTGGACTAAAGAATATGTACAATCCTTGGGAGGCAAGACAGGCATCAGTCAAGTAAGTTTGCTCTAGGCTGAGAAATGCTTGTGTAGCTGGGACCCTTGGAGATAAGCAGACCATCATATCTTTATGGTCTGGCAATTCCCAAGGAAAAAGAATGTGGCTTTTGCCATTGCCTTGCTCCTTCCCTTTGGAAAGGGTTTTGTCCTTTCCCCACCTTTACTGCACTTTTCTCCCTCTCATGCCGGGGAGAGAGAGAGAGAGAGAGAGAGAGAGAGAGAGAGAGAGAGAGAGAGAGAGAGAGAGAGAGAGAGAGAGAGAGAGAGAGAGAGATGGATAAATGGGGAGGAAAATAGGATGAAGGGAAATACATAGTAATCTTAACTGTGAAAAAAATTGTAGGCAGAGCCAAGATGGTAAAGTAATGGCAGGGACTCGCCTGTGATATCCCCCAAGCCCCACCAAATGCCTTTTCAAAATGACTCTAAACAAATTTTAGAGCGGCAGAACTCACAAAAAGATGTAGTAAAACAAATACATAGTAATCTTAACAATGTCACCATAGTAACTTTCTATAGTCAGAGGGGTTTTTTTTCTGTTGTTTACTCATTTTCTCCAGTCTGTTACTTCACTTTTAACTTTTTGTTAAAGTACGGCTCTGCTTCCAGGGTGAAGGGCTCACCATCTCACACTTCAGGGATTTTATGTAGCTGTTTTCAGAGATACTTCTAGGGATCTGTAAGTTTTTAGTTCTTCCAAGATAGTATGATCTAAGGAGAGGTGTTTACTATTTTCCTGGCCTGTGTTCTGGTCTATAAGTGACCACAAGCACTCTTTTCTGCCCTGGAACTGTCGGGAGGGAACCCCTCCACTGTGACCACAAGCTCTGCTGTGCTAGTGCTCCTTCTTACCCTGGGACTGCCATCCAGGACTGAACCAGGATCATCTGTAGACTGAGAGCTCCAGAAGCAGCTACTGCTGCTGCTGCTGCTGCTGCTGATTCAGCCATTCCCAAGGTTTCCTGGGGCTAGGACTGTGCTGGTGTGGCCAGCACTGAACTGTACTTCACTCTTACCCAGGTGTGACAGCCCCTTCCTGCTGACCTTCCAAGTTGTCTTGGGCTGGAAATTTGTTTTACTACATCTTTTTGTGAGTTCTGCTGCTCTAAAATTTGTTTAGAGTCATTCTGAAAAGGTATTTGGTGGGGCTTGGGGGATATCACAGGTGAGTCCCTGCCATTACTTCACCATCTTGGCTCTGCCTACAATTTTTTTCATAGTTAAGATTACTATGTATTTCCCTTCATCCTATTTTCCTCCCCATTTATCCATCTCTCTCTCTCTCTCTCTCTCTCTTCTCTCTCTCTCTCTCTCTCTCTCTCTCTCTCTCTCTTCTTTCACTTTGTCCCTCCTCAAAAGTGTTTTGCTTTTGACCACTGCTTTCCCCAATCTACCCTCCCTTCTATCAATCTGTCCTCCTTTTTTTTTTTAAATCCTTTCCCCCTCCTACTTTCCAATAGGGTAGATTACTATACCCAACTGAGTATGTATGCTATTCTCTCTTTGAGCCAATGTCGATGAAAATAGGGTTCAAACGCTGGCTGCCCACCCCCTTCCCACCTTCCCCTCCACTGTAAAAGCTCTTTTGTGCCTCTTTTATGTAAGATAATTTAACCTATTTACCTCTCACTTCCCTCTTCTCCTAGTGCATCCCTCTTTCTCACTGCTTAACTTTACTTATTTTTTTTAGATATCATGTCAACATAGTCAACTCACACCTATGCTCTCTGTCTATGTATGCTCCTTCTAATTACCCTAATAATGATACCATTCTTAGGAGTTACAAGTATCATTTTCCCAGGTAGGAATATAAACAGTTTAATCTTATTGAATCCCTTATAATCTCTCTTTTCTGCTTACCTTCTTAGACTTCTCTTGAGTCTTTTATTTGAAAGTCAAATTTTTGATTCAGCTGTGGTCTTTCATCAGGAATTCTGATTGGACCTCTATTTCATTGTATATCCTTTTTTTCCCCCTGAAGGATTATACTCAGTTTTGCTGGGTAAGTGATTCTTAGCTGTAATTCTATTTCCTTTGCCCTCCAGAATATTATATTCCTGGCCCTCTGATCCTTTAGAAGCTGCCATATCTTGTGCTGTCCTGACTATGGCTCCATGATATTTGCATTGTTTCTTTTGGCTGCTTGCAATTATGTTCTCCTAGACCTGGGAGCTCTGGAATTTAGCTCTAATATTCCTGGGAGTTTTCATTTTGGGATCTTTTTCAGGATGTGATTGGTGGATTCTTTCAATTTCTATTTTATCCTCTAGTTCTAGGATACCAGGGCAATTTTCTTTGATAATTTCTTGAAATATGATGTCTAGGCTCTTGTTTTTAATCATGACTCTCAGGCAGACCAATAATTCTTGAATTATCTCTCCTGGATCTATTTTCTAGGTCAGTTGTTTTTCCAATAAGATATTTCACATTTTCTTCTTTTTTCCCCATTCTTTTGATTTTGTTTTATTATTTCTTGATGTCTCATGGAATCATTAGTTTCCACTTGCCCAATTCTAATTTTTAAGGAATTATTTTCTTTAGTGAGCATTTGCACCTACTTTCCCATTTGACCAATTTTACTTTTTTAAGGATTTCTTTCTTCAGTAAATTTTTGTATGTCTTTTTCCATTTGGCCTGTTCTGTTTTTTAAGGTGTTATTTTCTTCATTTTTTTTGTGCCTCTTTTACCAAGCTGTTGATTCTTTTTTTTTGCATCACTCTCATTTCTTTCCCCAATTTTTCCTTTACCTCTCTTATTTGATTTTTAAAATCTTTTTTGGAGCTCTTCCAGGAATTCTTTTTGGGCATAAAACCAATTCACATTTTTCTTTGAGGTTTTACATATAACTGTTTTGACATTGTTGTCTTCTTCTGAGTTTGTGTTTTGATCTTCTTTCACTATAGTAACTTTTTATGGTCAGGTTCTTTTTATTGTTATTTGCTCGTTTTTTTGGCCTGTTTCTTGACTTTTAACTTGAAGTTAAAGTTAGGCTCTGCTTCTAGGGTGGAGGGGGGGCACTGTCCCAAGCTTCAGGTTTTTTTGTGCTATTGTTTTCAGAGCTATTCTTGAAGTCTATAAGTTTTCAATTCTTCCAAGGTAGTATGGTCCAACGAGAGGTGTGATCACTGTTCTACTGGCTCACAAACCAGAGCAACCACAAGCACTCTTTTCCACTCTGGAACTGTGACCAGAGTCTTTGCTCCTGTTAGTGCTTCTTCTTGCCCTGGGACTTTGACCTGGAACTGAGTATGGGCAATACAACAGAGTACTGCTCCCAGGGCTGGCAAAGGGTTTCCTGTAATCTGCAGTTGTCAAACCCTCTTCTCCTGTAGGCTGAGAGCCCTGGAAGTTGTCACAATTGATTCAGTCACCCACAAGGCCTGCTGGTGGCTTGTCCAGCATGGCCTACACTAGACTGCACTCCTTTCTCACCCCAGTGAGATAGACTTTTCCTACTGACCTTCTAAGTTGCCTTGGGCTAGAAAATTGCTTCACCCAATCCTTTTGCTGCTTCTGCCACTCCAGAATTCATTTTGAGGTGTTATTTTAACATTGTTTGGAAGGGAATTTGGGAAAGCTCAGGTGAGTCCCTCTTAGCTTCATTCCACTCTCATAATTTCTTGTAGCATGATAATATTTCATCACATTCATATACCATAACTTATTTAGCCATTCTCTAAAACTTATGTTTACACCGTCAGTTTCCAATTCTTTGCCAATATGAAATGAGCTGCTATAAATATTTTTGTGTATATGGAACTTTTTCCTCTTTTAAAAAAAATCTTTGTGGTATGGACCTAGTAGAAAATTCTTTCTTTCTTTTTCTGCTGAATGTTTCTCTTCTTTTTTGGGGGGGTGAGGTATGTGTGGCAGGGGTGTCCTGAATCTATTGTTTCATTGATGTAAGGATCTCCTGGTATGTACATTCCTTCCACCAATTCAGATGGCTAATTCTGTAACTTACAGGCTTAGATAGTTCTCTAGGATACTGAGAGGGTAAATGACTTTCCCATGATTGCAAAAACCACAAACTAGCCCTCTATTCACTATTGCCATGTTGTTCCCCTCTCCTTCTTGCCATAATATGAAATTGAATAATTCTTTTTTATTATTTGTTCTTTGATTCTTATTTTTAAACATTAATTAAATTCCTTTTTGCTTGTGTGTGGTCTTGGACTCATATTTTTTTTTTTGTGAACAAGTGATTCTCCCATAGACCAAAAGTTTCTCAACTCACCTAATAATGAAGTATAACAGAAGAATCTAACTGTATTAAACATTTCATGCACCTAGAAAAAATAGAAATGAGAGGAATATCATTTTGAGCGTTGTAAGAAACAGTTCAACAGCTAGAAATCTCCAATAAAATGAAGTTATCAAAATTCTCTCTGAATCTATCTAGTGGAAAGTACTGGAGAAATCTGGTTTTCTATCACTTGAAAAATACAGTTCTTTTCCATTTTTACTACATTACTGCATGATCAGAATCTACTGATAAGTCTCAAATTCTCTCCTCTTGAGTTCAGAAATATTGCATTCTCTTGTCTCTCCAGCCACATGTCTGTCTGTTTTACCAGCTTCCTGACTGCCTAAGAAGGATGGCCCCAAAAGGCTCTTTTCTTTTCTCTTGTCTTTTTATCTCTACTCTCTCTTTCTTGAAAATCTCACTCACTTTTATGGCTTCAAACATCACCTCAATTTAGGTGATTCCAAATCTTTATTTCTACCCCTAATATTTAAACTCCTTCACAACCTGACCCTACTTGCCTTTCTCACCTACATTGCTTCCCTTTCTATAATTTATGATCCAGTTTATGTGGCCTTTTTGCTGTCTCTCACACACATAATCTTCTCTTATTCCTTTGCCTTTGTACTAGCTATCTCACATGCCTGTAATGCACTTCTTCCTCACCTATATCACCTATATTCCCTTGTTTCCTTCAAGATTCAACTCAAGCATTACTTTCTACAGGAAGCCTTTCCTGATTCTCCCAGATCTTAGTGTCTACTCTCCGAAAATTGCCTTGTATATATTTAGTATTTATTCCGTATAGACCTATTTATATCCCTACCATCTCCCCTATTAGAATGTTTGTTTGTTTGTTTCTTTCTTTCCTTTTAAAAAAAATCTCCAGTGTGTAACAGAAGACATTTATTTCTTCTGAATTCCAGACTGGCATTTTCCATTGCCCATAAGGCATTTCCGTCTAGCTATTACATTAGCTCATGACATTCAAAACTAGTTTATTATCTTGGTCTCCTAAACCTGCTCCTTCTATGAATTTGTTCTTTTTGTGTCCTATTCACTCATTGTTCTAATGAAACTCAGAATTTTAAGAAACAAAGTATCAACCTAAACTGATTTGACTACAGTGTTTATTAACTAATATATAAACCATGCGGACATACTTACTCGTGAAGATACAAGAAAATATGCTAATCCTTGGTCTAACTTGTCAACATGAAAAAAGAAAACCCACCCTCAAATATAGAGTATTTTCATAACCCCACCACTATCTGCTGGGTTTCTGTTCTTGTTTAACACAAATATATGAGGCTATTCCCAGAAAGCCTGCTCTAGCCAGACAATAACTCCACCACCAAATGGCCTACATATTCTAGAGGAGTATGGTTCTATAGTGAACCAGACAATGGTAATTAAGGCCTCTTACAAATGCATTAATCTCAAGCAGGTCAGATAAGGCTGAACACAAGTTGGGAGAATTCCTTTGGAATCAGAGGCAGAACTTTAGCTTTCTTCATCTGTATGTCTCACCTCCTCTGGGAAAAATGGGTCTTATCTAATTGACTTGTATCACTCAGTCTCCCATCTTCCTAACTTTGGTTTGATCTTTGATTCTTCTCTGCCTCAGGTCCTTTCCCTTTTTCTTTGATCAATTTGGGATACAACCTAGTAGTGCTATTGTTGGATCAAAGGGTATGTACAATTTGTAGCATTTAGGCATAGTTCCAAATTATTATCCAGAATGAATGGGCTAGTGCACAACCTCACCAACAGTGTATTAGTGTATCTATTTTTCTACTTCCCTTCTAGCTTTTGTCACTTTCCTTTTGTCAGGTTAGCCAATATGATAGATGTGAGGTGGTGCCCCAGATTTGTTTTAGTTTGCATTTATATAATTATTAGTGATTTAGAGTATTTTATATGAATATTGATACCTTCTATTTCTTCTCCTAAAAACAGCTTGTTCATATCCTTTCATCATTTATCAATTGGGAAATAGCTTTTATTTTTATAAATTTGATATAGTACCCTATATATTTGAGAAATGAGGCCTTTATCAGAGAAACTTGCTGTAAATTCCCACCCCTTTCCCCCACTCAGTTTTCTGCTTTCCTTATAATTTTGGTTGAATTGGTTTTATTTGTGTAAAGCCTTTTTAATTTTATAGATTTAAAAATATCCATTTTATTTCTTGTGATCCTATCTATCTCTTATTTGGTCATAAAATCTTCCCCTATCTGAAAATCTGAAAGAATTTTTTTCTATGCCCTTCTAATTTGTTTATATTATCACCCATTATAGTTGAATCATGTACCCATTTTGATCTTATCTTGGTGTATAGTTTGAGATGTTAGTCTATGCCTGGTTTCTGCCAGACTTCTTTTTAATTTTTCTAGCAGTTTTTGTCAAATAGTGAGTTCCTGCATCAAAAGCTTGGGTGTTTAGGTTTATCAAACATGAGATTGTTATGGTAATTCCCTACTGTGTGTTGTATACCTAACTATTCCATTGATAACACCACTCTATTTCTTACCCAGTATTAGATTGTTATAATGATTACCACTTTGTAGTACAGTCTGAGATCTGGTATGACTAAGCCACCTTCCTCCACATTTTTTTTCCCATTAATTCCCTTGATATTCTTGATCTTTTGTTTTTCCAGATGAATTTCATTATTAATTTTTCTAGCCCTATAAAATAATTCTTTGGGAGTTTAATTGGTATGGCACTGAATAAGTAAATTAATTAACTGTGACACTATAACTTTAACTATAAATGATACTTATATATTTTATATATAATGTATTACATTGTGTGTGTGTGTGTGTGTGTGTGTGTGTGTGTGTGTGTGTGTACGCATTCTTCAATATCCAGGTCATGTATACATTTTGACCTTTTTATAATATATAGTACAAGTTGTATTTTCAAACTAATTTCTGCATACTTCTTTCCATTTTTTTTCCCGGCTATTCCTATCAAATAAAGAGTTCTTCCTCAAAAAACAAATAAGTAAATTAATTTAGGTAGAATTGTCATTTGTATTATATGGCCTTAGCCTACCCATGAGCAATTAATATTTCTCTAATTGTTTATATCTATCTTTATTTTGTGAAGTGCTTTGTAGTTGTCTTCCTATAGTTCCTGAGTGTGCCTTGGCATATAGACCATCAAGTATTTTCTACCATCTGCAATTATTTTAAATGGAATCTCTCTGTCTCTTCTTGCTGACTTTTGTTGGTATATAGAAATGCTGATGATTTATGTGGGTTTATTTTATATCTTATAACTGCACTAAAGCTGTTAGTTGTTTTGGTTAGTTTTTTAATAGTTTCTCTAGGGTTCTCTAAACCAACATATCATTTTCAAAGAGAGATAGTTTTGTTTCCTTGTTGCCTATTCTTATTCCTTCAATTCTTATTCCTTCAATTTCTTTTTCTTGTCTAATTGCTATAACTAGGATTTCTAGTACAATATAGAATAATAATGGCAATACTGGATATCCTTGCTTCACTCTGATCTTATTGGAAAGGCTTCTAATTTATCTCCATTACAGATAATCTTTGCTCTTAATTTCAGATAGGTACTATTTATCATTTTTAGAAAAGCTCCACTTATTCCTGTGCTTTCTAGTGTTTTTTAATAGGAATGGATGTTTTCTATAGTTTTCTTTCTCTGTTTTTGCTCTCTTTGGTTTAGGTATCAAGATCATATTTGTTTCATACAAGGAATTTGGTAAGACTCCTTCTTTACCTGTTTTTTCAAATAGTTTATATAGTATTGGAATTAATTGTTCTTTAAATGTTTCATAGAATTCACTTGTAAATTCATCTAGTCCTGGTGATTTTTTTAGGGAGCTCATTTATGGCTTATTCAATTTATTTTTCTAAGATAGGATTATTTAAGTGCTCTATTTCTTCTTTTGTTAATCACAGCAATTTATAATTTTACAAATATTCCTATATTTCACTTCAATTTTTAGTTTTATTGGCATATAATTGAGCAAAATACTTCCTAATTATTGCTTTAATTTCATCTTCATTGGTGGTAAATTCACTCTTTTCAATTTTTAATCCTGGCAATTTAGTTTTCTCCTTCCTGCCTTCTTTCCTTTCTTTTCCTTCCTTTCTTTTCAGTTAGCCAATGGCCTATTTTATTGGATTTTTCATAAACCACCTCCCAGTTTCATAGTTTAATGGTTTTTAATTTTTTTTCAATATTATTAATCTCTCCTTTGATAGTTAGGATTTCCTTTTTGGTATTTAACTGGGAATTTTAATTTGTTCTTTTTCTAGTTTTTATTTGTTTGTTTGTTTTAGTTGCATGCCCAATTAATCGTTCTGTTCTTTCTTTTACCGATGTAAACGTTTAGGGATGAACAAACTTCCTTTAAGTACTGTTTTGGCTGCACCCCACAAATTTTAGTATGTTGTCTCATTATCATTCTCTTTAATGAAATTATTGATTCTATATCTTGTTTTTTGACCTACTCATTCTTTAAGATTAGATTATTTAGTTTCCAATTAACTTTTAGTCTGTACTTCAAGGTCCTTTATTCAATGTAATTTTGATTTCATTATGGTCTAAAACTGGTGTATTTAATATTTCTGCTTTTCTGCATTTGTTTGTGAGGTTCTTATGCCCTAATAACTGGTCAATTCTTGTGAAGGTGCCATGTGCAGTTGAGAAAAAATTTTTTTTATTCTTTCTATTCCCTTTCAATTTTCTCCAGAGGCTTATCATATCTATCTTTTCTAAAATTCTATTCATCTCTTTAGCTGCTTTCTTATTTATTTTATAGTTAAATTTATCTGTTTCTGAGAGTGATAAATTGAAGTACCTCACTAGAATAGTTTTGCTGTCTTATTTCCTCTTGCAACTCATTTAACTTTTTCTTTAAGATTTTGGATGCTATGCCATTTGGTATACATCAGTTTATTATTGATATTATTTTGTTGCCTATGATACCTTTGAACTAAACGTAGTTTTCCTGATTATTTCTTTTAATTAGGTCTGTTTTTTGCTTTTGCTTTATTTGAGGTCATG